CACTTCTATACTCCCATAGTCACAGCACATGAAAATATATACAGCACGCTGTAACAAAGATATAACAACTGAACAATCGTCCATCAGATAACTTACCATTGTGTGGGATTGTGCTCCAAAATTGATAATTTATTTTAATTGAAAAAAAAACATTTAATGGAGGGTTACCACCCCTAAACGGCTAAACCCTCCTATTTGGTTGACAGTGATGGTTTTACTTTATGCTTATAGCAATGACTGAGAAATTCGAAAAATTACCTCTTCAAAGAGCCACATCTAGATAAGATTTTCTGTCTACGTATAAAGGAAAGCCATAGAAACTTCAAACTTGAAAAAGTGTGTTCATAAAAAAAGATAATAATAACGCCATCACTACCGTTGTAATCATTTCACTCGGGTTCTTAAACTATAACAGCTGATGATTCTCAATATTACATCAATATTTATTGTAGTTGTATTCGAACAATTTACCTGATTGCTTAGCAAAAATTATGATTATCTTTAAAATTATTGATTAAAAATAACGAAACCATAATGGTTTATGGACTCTAGTAGTCTTGTTATATTATTCGGTATCCGTGTAAGTATAATTGTATAATGAAGTCGTTTTTAACTGTGCTGATGCCTGATAATATAGTCGACCCGAAATAATTTACATACCTACCTCGCTGAACCATGACTGAATGGCTATTTAGTCGGGTCATTTCGCGTACCTACCGTTTAACTAGACAAATATTAACTCACTCTTTTCAGAAACAAAATTAATGCAAAATGTAAATTTAATGATAAAAAGCGTTGTCGTATTTAAACAGGATTTAAAAATTACTCAATGGCCCATTATAAAGACGACGATTTCAAATATAATATAACAAAAATGAAACAGTAATATAACGGAATAATGTAATTTGTAACGAGTTTCCAAAACTTGTATACAAATTAAATTATGGTATATTAGTATCTGAATAATAATTTAAGATTTATCGGTTTTAGCGTGCACGTCATGTACACGACTTATATTATTAGTATTACGCATATATCTTATATTTTAATTATACCCGCGGTCACGTCGCAGATTTATAAACGAAACGTCGACCTTAAATGAAATTTGTTTTTTTTCAAAAATGATAGGATATGATCAGAATAGCTGGCAATTTTTTCATTATCCATACCTATCATACTTCTTAACAAAACTCACATAATTTTAGCAATAAATATTTAAATTCACATAATATTAAATATATTATAAACATACTTATGTATTCGAAGAATATTTTCCTCAAATTCCTATTTTTAAGTAATTATCTATAGAAAGCTCTTCAAGACCGGAATTTCTTTTGGAGTGTATCTTTGGTATGATTGTAATATTTTACTAATATTTATTATTTTAAATTCAATTTATTGGAAAAAAAGGTCAATAAACAAATCCTTGTATAGTTTAACATAAAAGTATTTTTTTATTTGGTATTTTGTATTTTTGAATATAAAACCATAAAAAATACTTCGTATTCAATTAGAATTTTTGAATCATTTTTTTCTCTATATAATTTAAAATATATTTCAAAAATAAAAAAAGTATTTAATTATTTAAATAGGTTCTTAGCAACTAACGTGTATGGTAGGTACCTATAGTTATTTCCAAAGATTTTTCGGTAAGTGGTGAACGGTATCGATTTCTAAAGATATCTCTATTAGCCATCAAGCCACAGATGTTTAAATTGTTTAAAGCGAGTAGGCTGCCTAGTAGGGTAAGAGTTATTTATTTCTCCGTAGCTGATGGCGAATACATTCTGCGAGTGTAGAGTTCTTCTGGTTTCATTAAATGCAAATAGGTGTGACAGATGGGGCCTATCCCGGAGCGATTTATTATCACTTCACCGTTTCCGGTCTCACTCCATCCGCGTATTATGTGATTTGTTGATGACCGATTTTGATTTAATCCTCTGTTGTTCGTTCGTTAGACAAAAGTTTTCATAAATTCTTTTCATCGCCATAATAAACATAGATACGTCATAAGTCTTTTCGATCGATGATATCGATTTTAACGGTACTATTTATTATGAAATATGAAGTTTAGGTCCCTATATTTGAACCAATGTGGTTTTATTGCATTCAGATTTCAGATATCACTCAAACCTTTCAACCTAAGAACAAGACGATGTGCCATCCTAATAATATTATAGTCTCCGTCCATTGATCGAGAATAATAATCTCTACAGTGATTTAAAAATACGAACTCAATTAGCAAAATCATAATACCTTTCATTTCATTAAAAGTTAACATATCTTAAAAAAACCCGTTATAACTAATCCACTATCCTTCAGCACACTTCGATATGTACAAAACTAACATAACCTATGGATAATTACTAATTTAATCTGTCGGGTGCCACTATACCGACTTCTGTCCCGTTCTGCTATATTTCCGTCATATATAAATTTACATGTGGGTAATCAAAACCACTTATTGTAAATTATTCTGAGTATTATATTATTGTTATCAGAAAATATTTTTTTAATAAAGAAAAGACGATGTACTTCGTGAGAGTCTATAAAATATTTGGAAAAACGACTATGCCAACGTGCCATTGTTATAGTCTGTCTTTTACTTTTGGATAAACAATTGTTTTTGGCACGTCACACTGTTGATTTGTGATTTTATATTACTATAGTGTCATGTAAACGGAAATCAACAACTTGGATTGTGTATGTTTTTATTTATTCTTAGTCAAGCGTTACTTTTTGAGAAATATTTTAAGACGTTGTTGGTTGTTCACTTGTTCCCGCTTGAACTAATACAAATAACAAATGCTTGAAAGTATTAAGAATATCATCAACATGGTTCGTTGAAAATTATCAAAAGTTCTTTGTTATTACCATATTATAATACGCAGTAATAAACTTCGAAATTTTGAAAGTTAAATAAAAGGTTTATGGAAGACGTTGCTAAAAAGTGAACTTCATTTGAACGAAAAAAAAATGAGCACCTTATTCACTGAGTTTTATAGATAGGTACATACATTTATTCGTTTTAACGAATAATATGTAAAACAGAAATATAATAAAACGTTTTTTTTTTTTAATGTTAATTAATAGGAAAATTAAGATTTAGACGATAGGTTTATTAGGGTACTAGACACAAGTAGTACCTATTTATGTTAGTCTCTCGTGGGTAGATATATTATAAGCAATTGAAGTGTGTTGAGATTTGGAGAAATTTTTTGGATTGAATTTTTAAACAATTGTGATCCTCAAAAAAAATTAAACAGAACATTTTCACATTTAACATAATATTAAAATTGTAATAAATAATTATTTCATTTGTTATTACAATGATATGTTGTTCAGAAACAAAAATACAGTTTGTAACTCATGATGAATTGGTAACGGCTGTCTGTAATTATAATAATGTCTATAATAATAATATGTATATATATATATATATATATATTTATAATTAAGTATGAAATACGTTTATAAAGTGTTTAGTGGTAGGAAAAATACATTATTCTTAAACCCAATACCTCCCTTGTTTCCGGTCTAAAATTGGAAATACCTACATCAGTCTTAATTGTTTTGAGTGATTTTATATTTTTATGCACAGCGTTTTTAAATTGTTATATAACATGTGTCTTAATATGTTGAGTCAAGTTATTCGTTACCCCGATAAAAAAAATATATAATTATTTTTAAATTCTAGGTATTAAGAGTAAATACATTTTATTGAATTTATAAGTACTATTAGAAATTTATTTATTTTTTTTGTCTATTGTCGACTGTAGTAATCTCACGTAATAATGGGAATCATTTTTAAAATATTTAATCCTATGAGATAAAAAAAATCTGAATTATAACAACTAAATTATTATTCAAGTTAAAATAAATCAAATATTATTGAGATAATTGAGCTATAAGCAATTATGCAGTCTGCTATCATTAATTCTAATTTTCATCTTGTGATGTACCCATATTCGTGGTAGTTATAAGAATAGAAATTGAGTTGAGACAGTTTTAGCAGCTATTTAAGTTGCCAGAGTTTTATAAATACTTTACATAATTCAAAATGAATAATATGATAGCTAGGAAAACTTGCGAAGTAATTTTGTTAAAATCGAATATTTCTAAAATTTATAACAAGATGTACCTATATTGTAAATGAGTTTTTCATTATTATAATAGTCAATAAATTACATAATTTAAATAAATTATACACAATATTAACACTTTTAATTCCACGTAAAATATAAGCTGAAGCAAAAACTATAACGAGTAATGACATAATATTACCTCAGTGGCGCCCAAGACATATTTTTCAGGTGTAGCAAGACAATATAGTTTACGCTTACCCAATCATCCACCTACCCACCAAACAAAAGTTTATTAACAACAGAATATTCTTCTCCTCTTATTTCCAATGTGTTACGAACCCTACACCAAGTAATAGGGTTGAGCTAATCCCCCACCCCAAAAAAATAGTACCAGTTAGTATAGATATTATGACCAAAATATAAATTAATTTAAGATGGTATTAAATTTAATTTACTCAAGCATGGAGACCCACCTCCTACAAAATCGTTAAAAGTATAGCGGTCGTTACTCCTTGTATATGGGCTGGGCGCCACCTGTCATGAAATAAATCGAATTCTTTCACTTTATAAAAAATAAATATTGATGGGGGTTTGTTTTTTATTGGTAATGTCAATTTCTATAGTATTGGTAGGAAAGTTTTTATAGCACGTTTTATCTAGTGAATATTTTATTAAATTATAAACTTAGGTATATTAAGTTCAATTTAAAATAAATTCGTATTAGTTGATATTTAAAATTTGAAGTAAATAATGACTTAAATACATAGCCCCTATAATATAAGAGCATACTAGAATGATAAATATAAATAGTTTTGTTGTAATTTGTAAATACCTATTGCATTGCATTTTGATATCATACGTAGGTATATTATCAATTATCTAATCGTAAAACATAACATGTAATATTGTCATTACCCAAAAATAGTCTGGGTTGAAGCCTGGTATGGTCTTGTGTGTAGCGCCCACTTGGGTTAGGTACTGGAAGAAGTTGTCAAGGTCGTCCAGTTCTTTAATTCCTTCGTCTAGTGTAGTCATCACTTTGTTAGCGTGTTCGGCTAGCTCCATACTGTTGGCCTGTGCGTCCCTGGTTTTTAGTTCGCCAAATTTGGTAAAAAGTTGGAGAAGTTCTTGGTGTTCTTCGAAAAGCCTGTATAGAAAGCAAGGAAAAATAAATCGGGTTAGGTCACATGAATCGAGGCATGGGGATTGCAAATTTCCCGGGAACTGGTGATTATATGGGAATGATAATTTGTTACAGCCGACTGACTACACTGGGAAGAAGGAGAAAACTTTTCGCCACTCTGGCCGTTTCAATGTTTTACGTGATATAAATAATTTATTGGCGATCGGATATTCAGTCGATGTCGTATGCTAAACACGACCGGATAATGCTTTTAGCGATCGTTTTCCTTGTAAATTGTATAAACCGTTGCCCGTTTGACTATCTGTTGAGTGTTGTAAATGCGCACCTGTTGTTAACTTCGTCCGTTGTCACAATAATAAGCATTCGCATCAAACAATAAATTATAAAACCCCAATTGAGAGCGAATTCGTTTGAATCCAGCCCATCGTTTATGCTAATTTATTTATTTATTTATTTATTGTTAATTAAGGTTTCATTTTTATAAAAAAAAAAAAATAAAAAAATATATATATTGTTTATATCATGACCTTTGTCTATATTATGTAAAATTATAGAACGGTAGCGTTCGAGTTGTGCATTGCCACACTACATGATCGCTATTCGATGATTAAAAATTCAAATCCATTGGGTATCAACATAATAATAATATCATCAACAGTCAGTTATCACAGAATTTTTATTTCATTTATGTTAATTATGGTTACCTATTTTTCTAATAATACGCATTTTAAATATCAACATTAAAATACTATGTTGATTTTTATTTATTTGTTTAATCTTATATGAGTATAATATGACTAATATTGTTCGTATCTTATAATAGTTTATACTTTATTATACTCTTTACATAATACTATAATAAAATGTGTAACACTCGTACACTATGATTGTTTTTTTAGAATTTAAGTTCTTAACCAGGTCGTCGTTACCTCGGTTTGACATTGGATAAACGGCTAACATGGCAGCCCCATATCTCTTCCAAACTTCAACAGGCATATCAGCGCCTTTCTATGTTATACCCTATTCTCAATAAAAAATCTCCATTACAGAAAAAATGCTCTCTTCTTATATTTAAACAAATTCTACGTCCACTTCTCACTTATGCGTGTCCGGTCTGGGGGAAATGCGCGACCACTCACATCAATAAAATTCAAATTTTTCAAAATAAAGTGCTACGTATTATTTCCAACGCGCCTTGGTTTATAAGGAACGTAAACCTACACAAAGACCTTCAGATCCAGGAAATCACAGACTTCATTAAAACCTCATCAAAAAACTTCCATACCGCACTGCTCAGCTCTCCTGGCTCACTTCATTATCAGCTCCATGTACATCCGCCTCAACGCAGACTAAAACGTGGACGTCCACATGACCTTCTGGTTTAAACAGCTCCATATACAGCAGCTGTTGCTACTCGTAGCGTCAACTTAAGTTATACAACTTGCCATTTATTATCTGTTATACCTTTATATTGCTATTATTATTGTTAATATTATTATTATTAAGTATTATTATTATTATTAAGTATTATTATTATTATCATTTTTATTATAATTACTTGATTAACTTATCATATTCAAAATGTTAAAACGCAACTTATAATTAATATCAATAGATGTAGATAGCCATGGCTAGGAACATCTTATATTATAATAAAAAAAAAAAAAAAAAAAAAAAAAAAAACCAGGTCGTCGCCTATACTTTGTGAAATATTTATAAGGTCATAGTATTTATAAGACATACAATAATTAATATTATAAATTATTCTCTTATTCAAAATACTCAAAAGGATTGTTTTTCTAAACAATTTGATTTGTATATCTAATATAGATTTAGTTAACGCTTTATTAAATATAATTAATTGAAGTTTAGACTAACGGAGAGAGGTACAAATGTGTATTATCTATTTTTAGATTACCCTTCTCTACTACTCCTATTAAACCCGTAAATAATTATAATCTATATATAATTAGTGAGGCTGATTAGATTGGATTTATGCATAACATCATCATTTCAAAAAATATTAAAAAATAAATTTATAGATTGACATTGGCAAATCTAAAGTTGATTACCGTTTTTACAAATATGGGCTCAGGTGGATATAACGTACTATAAATAGGTATGAAAAATAGAGAATACAAACATTTTTTGTTATTTGTTGACCAAACTACAAATACAATTAAAATTATTATTAACTCCCTAGGAAGTTAGTTTTTAATTAATTTTTAAATCATTTAAAAAATTATCCACCCTAATCCCTAACCGTATAGGTATCATGTAAATATTTGGTATTATAATTTAATCATATAATTGTATGTGTTATAATATGTACTACCTATGTATTGTATTTTTGATTTGGAGGAATGTACAATTGTATTAACACATACAACAACTATTTGGTGTTACTTAAGGCGGCTCTTAGTGGCTATTATTTAAGGGGAACAATTTAGGCAATTTCTAATCTTGTCGTCGCCGCCCGTAATCTATGTGTTAGTCGTAAATGATTATTAGTGTGAAATTCGAAGAAATTCGAACTCGATAACAATAGATTTTATATCGCCCGGCTGCGGGCACACGGTTCAATAGCACACGTACGCGCATGCACAAGTCAACGTAATCACTCTCGAAAAATATTTTTGTACACTCACAACAGTGAAAAATGCTAATAAGCTGGCGAAAAATACACATACTTCTAGTAGTCCAATTTCAATTTTGAAAAATTATTTGAATTCGTCAGCCTCTTTTCTATGATTTGTAGGAAACCGATTTTGGATATTTTAGATAATTTACGTATATTACGGTTCCAAATGACTGCTTGATTTCTCAAATTTAACTTGCACTTTTAAGTGCTAACTAGACAAAAAGATGAAAAAGTTTTTCCTACAGATCATAGAAAAGAGGCTAACGAATCCAAATAAGTATTCAAAATTGAAATTGGACTACTAGAAGTATGTGTTTTTTTCGCCAGCTTATTGGTCTAAATGCATGAAAAATCCAATCGTTTAGAGCCGCCTTAATATCAACTTTGCAGTTTTGTACACTGGTTTTTGAACGAGTTTTATATGTGACAACATGGTTCTTTCTCTTCGCAGAGGTGAGTGAAGTGAGACAAATGTTCAATATCTGGTCTGTCGCTACCTATATCCGGTCAGAAATATAACTCTTTATTTAGTTAAACCGAAATAGATTCGAAACAAAACACATCCATAACGAGCTATTTCGGTAGTGGTACGCCACGCTTTTATATTATAATAAATTAGGTATTAATTTCCACTCAAAATCTGCTAAGCAATAAAAATCAATGAGAGAACATCGAAAGATTAAATTTTGTAAGTCCATAAATAATTTATATATTTGCAACTTAAGTCCACTAAGACCAGACACTTCAGTTAATGAATCTATTGTTATTTAAATGCGTTCCGATCGTTGTTTTTCAAGATTGTAACGCATACAGACGTGACCATAACCATTTAAACCTCAAAGATTTGATATTCTTTATAAGCTGAATAAAAAGAAATATGCAAATAAGTTATAATTTACAGATTTGCATAAATATCAGTGTTATTGTTGTATGCAAATCATGAAACAAAATCGGCGAACAAGCACCTCATCTGTAATGTAGTGTATAGTTTAAGTTAACAGTTATTATAGTTATAACTATATATTATTATTGTTTTTCATGGTGTGTCTCGTACAACATAAATTTAAAATAAAATCTCTACAGTATTGTATACAGTGCCACACAGAATTTAAAACGAATAGTCACAAGTAATATTTGAGACAAGAAGTAAAATAATATAACAGTTATAGTTTTAAGACACTACAACACTACGAAATCCATAAAGTAAACACTAAACAGTAAAAGTCAACGCATTGCACTCTGAAGTAATCTTAGTATAGAATAATAAAATTTTATGATTTTTAGAACCCGTGTAAATAAAAATAATACATTTTATCTAATAAGTTTACAAAAAATATTAAATATTAAAGTTTATTAAGATTCTTTAAAGTTTGTGATTCAAATAATTGAATTATGTTATTTATACTTAATTATATGATTATTATAATAAAAAAATCTATTTTACCTAAATAAATATCTAATCAAATATATATATAATGTAAAAATGTTGATTTAAATAAGACAAAATAATAACAAAAATGTTCGTAAAGAGCATATTATATTTTTGATTTAATAAAGATTTTTATTTGTTTTAATCTTATCTCATTTATTTATTGTTAATTACACCATATAAAAACATAAAAAATCTAAACAAATAAATAGTGTATTTAACCTATATTTGGAAATGTATTGGTATGATACGACGTTATCACAAAAAAAAAGTCTTTTATTTAGGTAATATTATATATTATAGGTCGTACAATCGTATAGATATCTAATAAATGGATTTATGAAAAGACCATGCTCATTCACTAATCGCAATATCGCATGAGAACTGAGAAGCCGAGGGCTATTATAACGAGGGGCATAATTAGGTGAATTATCAATTGCGTGATATTTGATAAGAATGGAAAGTGTTATATATAATATTATTGGCGATCAAAATCTTATCCATTTTTAGGACGGCGAGGGTAGGTCTGTAACGGGCTAAATGGAAAAATAACATATAAATTGTGCACAGTGTCCCCGTTACAGCTTATAAATTTCTATCGCGAATTACGTGCAATAGAAGATAGAAAAAAATCACCTCAGTTGTAGCTTATAATTTGAATTATTTAGGTACATGTCCTATTCATATATTGCTATCATGTATGTTTATAGAGTTTTCTATCACTTCGCAATAGCTGCAATTTTTTTTATGTTTCACCAGTTATTCCAGTTTCAGTGTGCACTAAATCACTAGTTGTGTGTTCCACGTTACTGCACTATGCGAGTTTTTTTTGCACCAAGTGCAGTGATAATTGCACGAGCTCCTGGAGCTCTATATGGCCGGGGAGTTTCCAGACCTATCTATATGGCTCGTTCACCTTATCATTATCACGAT